TTTCCTTGGGCCCTTTCACAGGCTGTTGTCATCAGTGGGTCCAATGTAATTGTTCCCTTTGAGAAAACAGCTTTGGATTATTTCTTGTAAATATCTGAATGGTCAATCTGTAATTCTATGGTTCTGTTTGGAAAACGACACTAAAAGGTAACCTGAACCTAGAAGAGAAAATGTTAAGCGGCTTTTTAGAGAAGAGATTTCCCAGTTTTCCTTTGACCCAACCTTTGGTTTGCTGTTCTCTTTCCAAAGCCTGTAATCTGATGTCCGACACATATTCGCGTGTAATGCCGATGACATCTTATAGCACGTCACTTCAAACCTCTGACTGTGACAGACTCACTGTCTTCCATAACATCTTACTACAGAAGCAAGCAGTGACTTTTAAGAATTTATTTCTTAACCTAAAAATTAAAAGTTGCTTTGAGAAGTAAGCTCTTAAGGACGATTAAAAGTAAAGCATCTATTTAAGGACCTTCCATTTGGGGACTGACGGGCTTGTGTTCAGCCTGGATCACAGAGCCCTTGGTGGGTAACACCAATTAGGCAGCGCAAGCAAAAACCCATCTGCCTTCTGACTTTGGAAGTGCGAAGACGAATATAATAAATGTAACACATTCTAGTGTCTCTTTAACTCCCACCGTATACGGTTTTCACTTTTTTTTTTGTTCTTGCTAGAAGAAAAGGAAAATTAAAACCCAAAACTTTCCCAGGTTCTTCATTTTCTGGCCTACCATTTTGTCCAGAACATAATGGGTAAAGCAGCATCGGGCTGTTACAATGTAACCAGCTCAACTCACATTTGAAGATCCAAGGCAGTGGATACTACAGCCATCTGTCTTGCCATGAGAACATCTTATTTCTAATGTCACCTAGAGGGATAGTTGCCTTATAATAGCAATTGAAAGTATTAAACCGGCACTTAGCATTTGTTAGGTGGTTTGGGTTCTTTAAAAAAAATGGCATGAATCAATGAAAAATCTTTGCATCAAGCTTTAAAATTCAGGTTGCTAGGTATTGTATAGAGCCTAGATATTAAAATATATCCAAACGCCAGCATTTTGCTAAACTTAAGGTTATTGGCTAAACTCCACATTGGGGCCAATTGGGAAGGGGCAAATGACTCCGCCGGTGGTGGCCATTTGGAATCAAGTCTGTATAACTACATCAGTGTAGCTGGACCAATGCGAGGAAGCACTGTTGTCTGAAGCTCTGGAGAAGAAACGATCAACCCCGACTTTGACTTCGTGCTTTTCAAACACAGCTGAGGAAATAAGACTGACCATTTTTCTCCCTTGGTCTCAAGAAGCACTTAGCATCCACACCGAGGTGTTTCAGGCCAATTGCTTTACTGCATTATCTACCATCCCTCAACAGGGGTCCAGATTCCCCCCCCTCCCCTTTTCCAGAGTGCCCTGGGTAATCAATCAGATGGCAAATATGCCCGTCTCTAGGGTCTCCAACTGCACGGTGCCTGAGTTTGGATGGGAAAGGAAGAGGAAATAAGAAAGGCTAACAGATGAGAAACTGTTTTCCCAGCCTGCAGGCAGCTCACAATCAGAGCTGAGCCCCTGGAGCAGCTCCATCTAGCTTCACATAATGTAGCCCGCAGGCACCAGCAACAATAGCAGTGGCGTCGGAGTGACCTCTGGAGGAGGCCCAGCTGGGATCTGCCAGCTGAAGCAGCAGCGAGTCATGCCAAGGAAACCGAGCCTACCTCCCTGTTGCTAAGTCATCTCAGACGGTCTGAAAAGCTGGGAAGCAGGATTTTTACTTATCCTTGAAAGGCAGGGCCATGTGAGCTGCATCGGAGACCCCGGACCCAGGAGAGCATTCTCCAGAGGCTGAGCAACATCTGTTACTACCCTGGAGGAAACCGTAGGGCTCACACACTTGGTTGATTCTTAATGAGATCGATATAACCATTTCAGGGATCCATGCAAAAAACCTGACCAAATTAGGGAATTGAAAACCAGAAAAGCATGGTGATTGCAAAAGTGAACACTGGGGTTGGTGGGTGGGGTGGCTTCTGGGATGATAGTGATGGCTGTTTCTCGTCTGGACAGCACAGGTGTGCCCAATCCGTGAAAATTCAGTGAACTGCTAGCCTATGCTTTGTGCTTTTCCTCTCTCACTGATACTTTAAATTGAAACTTTTTTTTTTAATGTTAGGAAGACAAATCTGGATTTTTAGCACTAAATGCTAGCCCTGCAAAGCGAAGTAAAGCTAGGAACAAGCATCACAAAATTCCTTGGCAGCATATTTTCTCCTCCGACAGAAAGAGGCTTGAATAAACCACGGAGCGGAACACCTAAAGGATGATCAGCCCGGTAACAAAGCAGGAAGATAATTGTAGTGGGAAGGTGATGGCCAAGACGCCCCCTGCACGGAGAGCTGCCCACAAGTGGATGGCAGTACAAAGACTGGGTCTGAAAACTGCCGGCTGAATCCTTCTCTGACGTTAGCCTGCCGCACTGCCATCTGACCTGGTCAAGGAAGGAGTGACTCTGCGGTACCGGTCCTCCTGTCACCGCTCGGCAACGTGACCTTGAGTCTGTCCCTGCCCTTCCTGCCTCTCTGGGTCCCTAACCTCTAAAAATGGGCGTAATGATTCCTCTCCCGGCACCACAAAGGGTGATCCTAAAAATTCTGGGGGTGAGAAGGCACTTCTTAATGTGTTATTTCCCAGCAACGCTACATAAAGAAAATGATTTTAAAACACCCAACCATTAATTCCTACAATAGCCACACCCAAAGTCAGTACGTGTGAGTTTTTCCAAGGAGAAGAATGTGCAAATAAACTAAGTTTGAGAAGCAGATCAAAGGCTTATAGTCTGAAAACGAAGGAATACTGAGACATTCGGATAAACCGTTCCACTTCTGAAATCTCTTATAAATGATTCTTTTTCCGCATGAAAAAATCATGACTGGCTTTCTGCTCACTTTTGTTTGTTTGTTTTGTTTTTTTCTTTTTCTTTTTAGCTGAAAGGGAAAAATTCGTGCTTTAAAGTTAAACAAAAGAACCGGGTCTGCAACCCCAGTCCCCACCCTGCAGCCTTTTGTTCTGGGGACAAGTGGCTATTTCCAAATGCAGAGGCAGGTGACAAGTTTTTGTTTATTTATTTATTCATCTAAACCAAAATCATTTCATCCTTCTTTTATTGGAGTGTGTGGGAGCGGGAAAGGAGGACTGAGTGAACGCCCTTTGTCCGCCTCGGGCTGCCGTAGAGACCGCAGTGCGGACTGCACCACGCCCACCAGCCCGTGTCTCCTGGCAGAAACGTTTCAGCACCACCCCGAGAGAATAGAGCGCTCAGGCTGTCGCTGTACCGGGACCCGGCAACCTCTGCCAGGGATGAAGGGAAGGGAAGGATGCGGAGTGGGGGCGAAATAAGGCAGAGGCCAGAGCTGCCCACAGGGAGAAGCGGGGGGGGGGGGCTGGGAGAGCAACAAAGCCGCTCACAGCCAAAGGTGGGCGCAAGGCCCCCGACCTCGCGAAGCTCGGGCAGAGCGAGCTCCGGGCCAGCCGGGGGCGCCGCAGTGCGGGGGCAGGTGCGACTACCCGGTGCGGGCACTGCGGCAGGCCGGGTGGGGCTGAAGGGCGGGCCGATGGTTGCTCGCTCGAGACTGCGCCCTCCTGGACCCTCCCAGCCCCGCCCAGGGTTCCCCGGGAACCGCTATTCGGCCTCTGAAGAGCCCGCTCCTGGTGCGCGCAGCAGCCCAGGAGCTGGCCCTACCCTGCCACCCCCTCCTCCCATTCAAGCTATGGTTCCTGAAGCTGAGACTTTTCAAGAAAGCCCACCCCACAACCTGGGGTCCCATTGTCCTTTTTGAAAGCTGAAGCCAGGACCTCAGGGGCAGGAGCGCAGCCTGGCTTCGTCTGGAAAGAGCGCAGACGGGTTAAGTTCCACGCCCGTGTCCTCGGGCGATGGGGGGACCGGGCGTGGCACTAGGACTAGCCTAGTCATCCCAGGAAAGAAAGGATCGGGAAGTTTTAAGCCAGAAAGGGCATTCTCCATTCTCAGAATGTGGTGTGTGTGTGTGTGTGTGTGTGTGTGTGTGTGTGTGTGTGTGTGAGTGAGAGTCAGGGGCGGGTGGCACGAGGTGGCTATGATAAGGACGATTCCCATGCGGGCCTTGGCACATATATTTCGACCCCAGGTTTTCGGGTAAGGGGAAGAGGGTCCCAGCCTTTGGCTAGGGCGGGGGGGGGGGGAGAAAAGAAGGTTCTGAAAAACAAGGTCCACCCCACCCTTTCTCCGCCTGCGGTCGCGGTTTTATTATGGCCACCGCTCCTCTGACACCTGCATTTCACTGAGCACGATAGGAGGTAGCCAAGTCGAAGGTGGCCGCAGACCAGCCAGGTGACCCATTCCTCGGGGCTATTAAAGATTGTCTCTATGGGTCTCAAATAGAATAATTTGGAAATTAGCTCAGAAAACGGGTCCAGATGGAGTATGGGAGGTGGCCTGGAGAGGCGTGGGTGCGGGGTGCGCGGGAGAACAAGGTGGCCGTCGCGCCCTGGGTGGGGTCGTTCTGGCGCATCTCCCTACGCACGTCCCTGGGGGGCCGCGGGACTGCTTACCCAGCTCGATGTTGCCGATGGCACGCCTCAGGTGCTCTTCGGTCACCGTCTCGCCGACCACCACCAGCAAGTAGAACTTGCTGTCTAGGAAGCGGTGAGACAGGCTGGGCGAGGTGGACGCCGCCGGGTTGGCGATGCTGCCCGATGGCTCCGGCTCGGTGGCTTCCACCACCACGGTCGCCATCGTGCCGGCTCTGCTAAAGCCTGGGCGAAGTGTTCCTCTCCCGCCGCTCCTCTGCTCTGCGGCAGGAGAAAAGATTATCTCCGAAGGTGCTGTCTCCGCTCCGCCCCCTGCGTCCCCCCTCCTCCCGGCGCGCGTCGCCTCCCCCCCTCCGCCCTCTCCCTGCGCGGAAGAGAGGAGCGGGGAGTGGAAGGCCGGGGAGGCGGTGCCGTTTATATGGAGACTAGGCTAGGAGCCTGGGAGGAGGAGGAGGAAGAGGTGGAGGAAAGGACCACCCGGCACATCCTCGTGGTGGCTGCCTCCACTCCTCCAGCCCTTGGCCCAGGGCTGATGTCATCCGCAGCAAATCATTTCGCCGGCGGCCCGGAAGCTGGAGGGACGAGGTGTGTGGACAATGGTCTGGGCAGGGCCAGGAGCCAGGCTCCAGGGAACCCAAAGAACTCTGCTGTAGCCCTGAGGGGTGCCAGACGTACACCTTCCTGCACCAAACCGTCAACCTTCCGATACCGGAGAGTGGGGATGACTTCCTGTTTTAGAGTGGGAGTAAGTCCTGAGTCCCGAGTGCACATCAGGCCTCTGCCTGTGTCCCATCCACCATGGAAGTCGGGATTTGAGTAGCTGCAACAGTCACAGTGGGCGCTGGGGGTATCCCATTCAAGAAGACTGGAACCTGTCTTTTTGACCTTGTAGATTTAGAAAGGCGTATTTGTCTCTCTTTTTTTTTTTTTTTCCTTCACTTAAAGGATACTTTGCAAGCCCTAAACCTAATTTGTTCAGACTTTGGAGTCTAATCTAGAAAGACTAATGCTGAAAAAGAACTGGCCTTTGGTGCTCATGGGAAATGAATGAGGGGGAGGTGGACCTATTATGTTAGATACAGATTTCTTTTTTTAATATGCTGAACAGATAGCATCAGGCGTAACAAAGAATAGAGAAGATACTGTCTCTGCCCAGCAGGGTTACAGGGACTATAATGTGTTTTTCAGTTCCTTGGGGATACACAGGCTGAATTATTTTGTGTGACAATGATGTCTTTTAAGATACACATAGCTTTGGGAGTTTTTATTGCCTTTGTCTATATTTAGAAGAGCTCATAATAATGTTTCTAAAGGCCACCATATACATCCATCTCTCGCAAATCTAATGAATAGGTTTCTGTCTTAGGACAGGAGGGGAGGGCAGACAGTGCATCATAAAAAGAGTATTAGGGAAGCAAGTTAGATGGAAGTAGGGGTCGTCAATACCCTTAATACTGGAATGTCTACTAGTTTTAAAATGCCAGCTGGATGTGCTGAAGCTCTGCTGGTAGAATGCATGACCATGCAAGCGTCATGACCACCGGGCAGTGTAGTCCCAGCACTCAGGCTGTGTCAGCAAGGAGGGTCAGAAGTTCAAGGTTATCCTCAGCTACTGATGAGTTCAGGATGAGTCTGGGATGCATAAAACCCTGTCTAAAAGCAAAACAAAACAATAAAACACCTACTGTAAGATTTTTCAAAATACTCCAGTGTCTTCGGTGTTCTCTGTCATGACTTACTAGTTAGATGCCTTTTGCCCTGTTTCTTTCTTGAAGCCTGAATAGGCTATCCCATGGGCAGCCAAAGACTATGCTAGTCTGGTCAATGGAGACAAAAAGAGAATGTCTGAAGTAGGACATTAGGGATCTGCAACAAGCTTGCTGCAGAGATTTGGCCACCAGTAAACAGAAACCATATATTTAAGTGGGAAGCCGATGGACATTTGGTGAAGACAATCAGTTACTCTTAAGTAAGGGCAGTGGGGTGGTCCATGGTGAGGGTGAGGAGGTGAAGGACATCTTCCCAGAAGTCAGTCATAGGAATGGCTTCATCTGCTCAGTTTCCTCCATTTCTCTGATCCATATTACTCCTGTGTGCATAAAAGTGTTTATGTTATTGCAAAGTCCTGTGAGAAACTGTTTGGTGATAGGAAGATTTATTTCTGTTCACAGGTTCCTAAGTTTCTGGCCGTGGTCTGTTAACTTCCATTTCTTTGGGCCTGAGGTAAGGCAGAACATTGGGGAGCAGGGGTTGGGGAGCATGTAATGGAAGGGGTGCTCACCTCCCTGCAGCCAGGAAGCAGAGACACTGCTTCTCCTCCTTTTTCCATCTGTGCCCAGCCTAGGAGGTGGTGCTGCCCACCTCATCCTATTAGCTAACTCTCTCTGGAAACATCTGACAGGCACACCTAAAGGTGTGCTTGACTAAGAGCCTAGGTGTCTCTCCACCCAATCAAATTAATAATCAAGTTAATATCAGTGCTCTTTTACCTCATTGATTTCACCTAAATTTATTGGGGGAAAATTTGTTTCTGTGCACGTGGAAACACTAATATCACAAATTCTTAAGGAGGTAGCCCTCAAAATATACAGAATGAAAATGAGATACTAATTAACTTTTTGCTCTACACTGTTACTGTTTGCTTAAGATTGAGCCTGAGGTATATACTATCTCAGACAAAAACAGAGCAGTGTTGAACCATACTAGCTCCTAACTGAATTGTTCCATATGTTGCAATGGCATGTTGAACGAAAAGTTCAACAGGAGGCCATTAAGATGACCCTGTGGGTGAAGGATTTGCTGCCAAGCCTGGGAACCTAGTAAGTCCCCAGGACTTACACAATGGAAGGAGAGAACAGACTACCTCTGGCCTCCACACACATTAATAATTAATTAATTTTTAAAAAGTGCAACCACCATGGTGGTCTGTCCAAAAAAGCATGACCACCAACCACTCCAGTCTTCACCCACACTCGCAAGCCAGGGACACGATGGCAGAACACAGACTGCCAGGTTCTACCTCTGTGACTTCAGGCAAGTAACTTGGCTCCTTTCTTACGTTCAGCCCCTTTGTTGGGAAAGTGGGAAGAATGGGAACTTTGTGAGCGCGAGAGGAAAGAGTAAGTGATAGAGACTTCAGAAGTTCTTAACCCACTGGATGGAGCACAGTAAGCAGCCAAGGTCTGGCTGATTGAACTCCATCCCCACCCCCATTTTCTTAGACAACGGAGTGAAAGTAGTTTTACAAAGTGTATAGGTGACTCCCCCACCAACACTTCTGGAAGAAAATAAATAAAAAAACCAACATATCCAGCCACTCTTCTAACCGAGAAGAGTCCCCACCCCCAAGAAAAAGGACACAGTTCTAAAGGCAAAGAAAGCTAACCTCTAAGGGAGTTGCCTGTATCACTAGCTACTTGGTGACCTCCCCCAACTGTCCAAAAAGCACTGCACGCTGGGCATGCTCCACACACAAATCATCTTTACCCTCCAGACCTGAGCAATCATGTCTCCTGTTCCACTGAACAGTAGCACCATCCATCCCACTGTGTAAGCCTGAGGCCTCACAGACATCTTGGGCTCTTCCCTAAACCTTTCTTAGCTCCATGTTCAGCCAGCCAGCCCTGCGTGGAGTTTGGTCAGTTTCACCGTCACCTTCTAGATGCTTCCTCCGCGATCCACTTCTCTTTGTTATCACAGCCCTAGCCCTCATCATTATGAGAGGTACTATATATAGGTTAAAAAAAAGTTCTGGAATAAAAGCTCCCCTCGTCCAGACACGTTGTCGATAAACCCATGGCTCAGAGTATAGACTCTGCTACTTATTCCCTCCCATCGTAATTTATTAGTTGTGTGACCTTGGGCAAGGTGCTCAGGCACTCTGTCCTGGTTTCTCTTGTATGTAGTGGCAATGGCCACCAGCTTCTTGGCAGGGTGCTAATAGAGTTGTTGTTCAATTGTTGCCATGCTGGGGGTGACAGCCAGAGTTGTGTATGTGGTGGGCAGTTGCTCTCACCAGTTTGGGCCCCACCCCCACCCAAGGGGATAATTTAAACAAGTGTTTAGAAGTGTTTTGTATGTAGTAAGCACTCAGTATAGGTTAATTGATGATTTATTCTTATTTACCATTCAGTATAGACAATTTCAAACATGTATGAATTAGACAAGATCATGTAATACTATAATTATTGGGAATGATGTATTTAATAGTTTGGTTGTTTAAGTCAAGGTCAGAAGAAGTGTATTTAAACTAACCAGTTGTTTGTTTGTTTGTTTTGAGACAGGGTCTCTCTAAGTAGCCCTGGCTGTCCTAGAACTCACAAAGTAGACTAGGATGGCCTTGAGCTCACAACGCTCTGCCTGCCTCTACCTCTAGAGTGCTACGATTAAAGGCAGGCATGCACCACCAGGCCCTGTTCCAAGCGTTAATCTTTACTCTGTGTGCCCCGACTCTTCTTGCTTTCCTTGTAATGTTTTTGTTGAAACACTTGTCATCAAGAGTTTCACAAAGCCTGACTTTTGCTGGGTGCGTGAATGTTTTGTCACTGACTACCTCTCTGTCTCCTGAAATGTCTGCATCTTAATAGGGAGATCTGAGAGCTTGATCAGAGGGCTGGGGGGGGGGGGGGGGGGTGTGCTACCCTACCATGAACGAGGCTCTGGATTGGATCCCTGCAATCCTAGCTCTTGGGAAGTGGAAGAAAGAGACTCAGAAGGCCAAGGTCATCCTCAGCTATGCAGCAAGTCAGAGGCCAGCCTGACCTTGTCTCTAAGTCATTTAGTTAATTAAAAGATTGGCCAGATTTGGATTTTTGCAACTATACTTCATAAATGATAGTAGTTTCTTCGTATGATTTTTTTGTTATGTCATTACCCAATCCATTATTTATTAAGAATTTGAAAATTCCAATATTTTATTATTTATTTGACAACAAGAAGGCATCAATTAGAAGAATTCTTACCTTGTCAGTTGGCTAACCTGAGATACAGTCTGTACAGGAAAACAAAAGACAAACACGTGGCTCTTTATTTGCTCATTTTCAACATCCATTCATCTGTACCATTCTCCCAGAGTGACTGATATTTTTCTCTCACTGAGATCTAACATGGATCTGTTATTCATATTGATATTTTCATTTCCCTTCTTGGCCAGGAGTATGTAGAACACTTCCCACCTACCTCATATTTATCCACAGAACCAGGATTTATCTGATTCTCTAAGAAATCGATATTACTTTAAGTAAAAAATAGCATTGAGAGACCATAATCTTGACTGAAGGTCGCAACCATGTTGGTCGTTGTTTCTAGATATTTTCAGTAAACACAAATGAAGGATTTTTTTTTTTCTCTCAGAATGAAATACACTATGGGTTGACAATGACAGTAGTAACTCAGGTCAAGGCCACCGGGGTTTTGCTTGTCCTCTGTCTTTGTCTTACCTGCGGAATTCCAGTTCTCAAGGACAAGGACAGGATTAGAGCAGAGAGTGGCTCATTTTCTCTGCCTTACACTCCAGTAGATACATAATAAAAATGCAACACTTTTGCCAACTGTATGGTTACTAAAGGACCATTTAACTCTTTTTGCAATGACTTCTGTTCTTAGCTTGTATCACATTAAAGACTAAAACTCTCAGTCACCAGGCACTGGGGATGGTGGTTCCTTTGCGCTCTCCATCGCTGTGAGCACAGTGCTGTTGGGACAGCAGCAAGACAGCAATAGCAACAGGATTACCGAAAACAGCTTGCAATGCCTCTTTGCAATGTCTTTCTCCAATAGCTGTCTCCCCAAGGCATACAGCTTTATGCAGTCTAATTAATTAATTCCTTTTTATAGGATGATGCCATTAACTCAATGCATAGATTCATTGGTTTCATTTGTGGTATTTCTGAGTTGATTTTTAAATTTAATTTTGCCTTATAATTATGAATGTATGGTTTCAAGGTCAAATTTATAAGACTTTTTTTAATCCAGATGACTACAGTCTCTACTTATACTTCCTCCATCATGCTCCCTGACTTTCCTTAGAAGCACACCCCCATCCCCCACCCTCCACCCATTGCCTGAGCTCAGTCCCCAGCACTAAAAAGAAACAGTAGACACATGCTACCTAATAATATATCCCGGCAAGAACTATATAATCATATAAACATATAATCTTCATTCTTTTTTAATTGCTGCATGTTAGCCCATTAAGTTTATCTATAACATAGTGATAGTGGACATTTGAGCTATTTCTAACTTGATTTATATTATAAAGAATACTTTTCTTGGTTACTTTTCTCCTTGCTGTGACCAAAGCAGCTTGAGGAAGGAAGGGCTTCTCTTTGACTCACTGCTTGAACATCTGGTCCCTCACTCTGCGCAAGGTATGGCAAACAAGAGCAGCCCAGCCATGGTGGCAAGAGCCTGAGCTAGCCCGCCCGTGTGTCACAGTGAGGAGGGAGAGAGAAGGGATTGCTCAAACTCTGTTCAGCTTTTCTGTTTTCCTTCTTCTTTCGTTGTGGGACCCCCACCAGTGAGATGGTGCTGTCCACATTCAAGATGGGTCTTTTCTGTTCCGCAAAACTCCATGAAAGTGCCTGAGGAGTCACACCAAAGATGTCATCAAAGGAATTCACAGTCCTGTCAAGCTAACAGTGAAGTTTCAGCACCACAGTGGTTACATAGCATTGTTTTGTTCCTTGGTAACACCTGGGCCAACTGACAGGCTCCCACATGTTTGTCTGACCCTCAGCTGGTTTGTGACTCACACCCCAGGGAGAATGATCTTACCGGATTGGTCACTTTACCTCGGTGTCCCACTTAAGTCTTGTATTGTCTTCAGGATAAAAACCAAACTACTACTACTGCTACTACTGCTGCTGCTGCTACTATTTCTCCTTCCTCCTTCTCCTCCTCCTCCTCCTCCTCCTCCTCCTCCTCTTCTTCTGGTTTTGTTCTTTATTTTTCTTCAGAGTCTCACTATGTGGTCCTGGCTATCATAGAACCAGCCTGGCTACTAGGCAGGTCTCAAAGTCAGAGATCCACCTGCCTTTGCCTCCAGAGTGCTGGAATTAAAGGCTGTGACACCATGCTCAGCCCAAGACCAAACTTCTTAACATGGCCTACAAGCTCCCTAGAAAAGTCTAGCCCCAGCAATCCCTAACTCAACTGACTCTTCTCTGTCAGCCTCAGCCACAATAGCCCACGTTCAGCCTCTTCTTCCTCCTTATGTAGACTCC